CCGTGGTGATTTTTTATTACAATCAGATGACAAAGGTAAGAAATAAAAATTCTGTTGTGCATGCCAGGAATTGAACCTGGGACCTTCCGCGTGTTAGGCTGATGTGATAGCCACTACGCCACAAACACTTGTTTTAAATATTTTAGACATAGATTATGACGTAGTTTTGGGAAGGTTCTTATTAGAATTAATATAGTTACCAGAACCTACTTGGATAAAAAGAAAAGTGAAAAACTACAGGCAGTATCCACTCTTTCCCATGATTACACTTTAACACATAAAACCACTTTTCATAAAAAGAAATTCCTAAAATCTCAACAAAAACCTGTATCTGTTCAATCCACTAAAGTTGAGGATCCTTCTAAAAACTCCAGTTCCTCTAGTTCGAAATCTTTTGACAGTCAGGATAAAACTTCTTTAAAACAATCAATGCCTGTCTGCTCTTTTTGTAAAAAAAAAAATGGTCATGTTATGCCCGATTGTTGATCTTTGAAAAAGAAAATGAGGCAGCACCCACTGCGTTTGTGTCCACGTATGGACGTAGTTTCACCAGATCACCCAATGTTGTTGATTTGGCCACTGATATAAAGGCTGATGTAATCAGGGAAGAATTTAGACCTTTTGTGTCTGTGAGTTCTGTGTCATTGACAAATGACATTGGCAATCCCATACCCATACGTATTCTACGTGATACTGGGGCGACTCAACCATTGTTGTTAGAAGATATATAGATTCGATTTGTGCCAGTGGTGAGTCTGTTATTGCTCAGAGTTTCGAGGGTGGCTTTGTTAATGTTCCTTTTCATAACATTTATTTAGCATCAGACCTAGTTTCGGGACCAGTTGTGGTTGGAGTAAGATCTACTCTGCCAATTAAGGGTGTATCATTATAGTTGGGAAACGATTTGACTGGGGGAAAAATTTTTGCCGAACCTAAAATCACTGTTTTATCTACGGATGATGATGTTGTTGAGGAGAATTCCGATGTGTTTCCCTCATGTGCTGTGACTCGAGTTCAGGCTAAGAAATTAAGCCAAAAACAAATGATAGACATGGATTCAAATAACAATATTATAGATTTGTCTCAGACATTTTTTGGATCCGAAAAGGATCTTGTTGATAACTTTCCTACCGATGATTCTTCACTGAGGGATCTGATTCACCTAGTGAAGTTTCATTTACTAAAAGTAAACTGATCACTGAGCAAGAAAAAGACCTGCAGATTTCTTCACTATTTAAATATGAGCTCCCAAAAAGATGAACTGGAGAAAGTTACAAATGGTTATTTTTTCGAAAATGGTGTGCTTACGAGGAAATGGAGACCACCAGATGTGTCAGCTTCAGAGGATTGGGCTAGTCTTTACCAAATCGCTCTGAAATATTAAAAGTTGCCCATTAACTCCCTATGGGAGGTCATTTAGGTGTCAACAAGACATATGACAAAATGCCAATTGATTTAGGTCGACGTGATAACAATAACTTGAAATAAAGTTAGTGAAAATGTTCTTACAGTGTTCATTCTTTAATCTTAATTTAAAATAATATTTTCTTTTAGGTATTTATTAATGAAGCATTAAATAATGCTATCAATCACTAGAGTGGTGAAAATAACAGCCGATAATTTATTTTGCTAACTGGGAAAAGAGAAACCTAAGACTGAAATATGTAATATTGCAACAAGATTTAAGTTTGATTTAATGCACAACGTCTTAAATGGGCACTATCCACTTAGTGTATCAAAACCTTGTAGCTTTGCGCTTAAAAACAAAAACCAGCAGGATATATCACATATTTTTAGTTCAACTCCCAGTACTCTATGAAATAATACCTATGAATTCTAATTAACTTATAGTGCATATACTATATAACTGATAATTCTCCTCAGTTTAGAAACAAAATTAGAGAACTTGTTTTTACCAGTGCTTGTGGTGTAGCGATCATCACATTCGCTTTACACGCGAAAGTGCCCAGGTTCAATCCCTGGCAGGCACAAATTATTTTTAGATTAGCGCGATCAGTTGTCTTAGAGTGCAAATGTGTTTTTTGGTCAGCTCTTATTTCATGTTTAGTTAGTGACTTGCTTTTTTTTGTTTCATCGCGTGGTGTAGGTTGTGTTTTGTGGAACTTTTATTAAGTTTATTGAAGTTAAAGCTGATGAAAGCCTTATCTCTAAGTTGCATACAGAGGTCTCAGTGGAGAACTATTTGATTGTGGAGGTGGATCGTGGTGTTCTTCTTGGACCTGCTACCTCAGATGACGAGATTATTCGATCACGCTCTTTGTCTACTGTTGCTTCCACGTCGTATTGGAATTAATATTATTAAATTGAGGTAAGTTGATATTGTGGTGTTATACTTACAGACTTTGTCAGTGCACATTGATCCATAGCATTACTACAATAATAAACAATCCCTAATTTGTAAAAAAAGTAACAACTCTGACATATTTAAAGATTGGCAAATTAATATCTTCTTTGAATTCTGATTAACATCTTCTCTTCTATATTTAGAGCAACTTTCTCTGAAGGAGGAATGACTATCGTCCAGGCTATACCAGGCTCGATCCCTGATATGCAAAGTTTCTTTAGGCTTCGGAAGTATAGATTCATTGATTTATAAGGCTTCGAAAAACGTTCCTTTTGAAAACTGAGAAAAGATCAGTTACTAAAAATAGTCTAGGATTATGTATTTCATTCCTTCTCTTAATCAGCACGTTACATGTGAAAGTCAAATTTAATCAATACACACTAAACTTTAGAAACTAAATTAAATAAATTTGGTCAACAAGTGTTTGTGGTGTTGTGGCTATCACATCCGTTTCACACGCGGAAGGTCCCAGGTTCAATCCCTGGCAAGCACAAATTTCTTATTTCGTGTTTAATTAGTGACTTACGGTTTTTCATTTTGGCGTGGTGTAGTTTTTATTTTGTGTTTTACAAGTGTGAAAGTTTCTTCACTTAGTTTATTACGTCTAGAACTTCTGCTATTAGAAGTTATGACAGTGTTTGTGGACGCTCCTAATATTAATCAGTAAGTTATGCAAGCTGTTATTTCTCAGTTTGGTACTGCTTTAGTCTCATCTATTGTCACTTGTCCGGAGGGACAATGAGGTTACGTTTATATTAAATGACTATGTTGAATTTGTGGTGCATTCTGGAATGATCATTCACGGCGAATAACTCACTGATGAAAGCTTTATCTCTAAATTGCATACAGAGGTCTCAGTGGAAAACTATTCGATAGTGGAGGTGGATCGTGGTTTTCTTCTGGAACCTGCAACCTCAGATGACGAGATTATTCGATCACGCTCTTTGTCTACTATAGCTTCTTCTGTCGGATCGTGGTAAAGTGTGTATTGCAGGTGCTAGTGAACGATCTAAAAGTTTATCTAATGAGTTTGATCCTGAATTTCCACCATTGGAGGAGAATATCGACGGTTAGTCTACTTCTTCATCGCCTACAACTACTATGAATGACGTCTCTTCCTCGCACCGTTAGATATACACAGAAGTGGTGTATATGGAAGTGGGGACTTCGCCCAGTAGTAAGAAAAGAGGTTTTGAATTTCCTGATATTTGCCGGAGTGAGACTTGTTGATCTCGTGTGAGAAATAATTTTATATATTATTGTTTAAGAAAAACTACATTAGGCTATCTGCTGTGTCCACCGCTGTTAATCGATTTTAGCGTTGTAAATCCGTAGACTTACCGCTGTCCCATCGGGGGACAGAAATAGTGATAATAAGCAGTAAATTTCTCAAATTCTCATATCCACAGTTAAGTTAAGGGTGGTCAACTGTAACGGACTGAGGGATTTGGGTAAACAGAGAAAGTATTTGACCTATTTTTGTTCGCGTTATTCCGTAATTTTTCAATGATGAATATTTATATTTAGTTCGTATATTTTGGTCAGGTTTTTTTTTAATCTAATGCAGTGTTGGATAGACAGAAGGTGACAGTGTTTGTGCATCCTTCACTTTCTGAGTTTGTATTATGTGGATCAGTTTGGGTGTATGGTAGCCATTAATTGTAATTTTAGTGATTATGTTCAATACATATCATGAAAATGACTTTATCACATACATTTATAGTTCATAACAAAATACAAGGATATTTACTTGAAATACAAAAACTATACATATCAAAATATATAGAAAACAACAAAAAACCAAACAACGACAACAAAGATACGATAATAAGCATGAAACACGACTTAACCTCCAATGGTGGAACTTCGGGAGCATAACAAATAGACAAACTTCTATTAGGTCGTCAAGAAATTAATGTCGCGTTTTGGAACAGTTTCATTAATCACCTCCAAAAAACGTACATCACGTACAGTAGTTAAACGAACCGCCTAAACGTC